GCATAACCTGTTCAAGATGTTACATTTATAAATCATAATAGTGGGGAAAATATGCGAGGCCACTATGTAGGAAGTTGCAAATTAACAACACGAAATAGGTCAACAACTAATAGCTTTATAATTAAAATTAGATTAACTCATTCATTTGTATTTATGAGACGCATCCGAAGTGTGATAGCCAATGATACTGTGGTGCACGCTACTTATAAGTAGTATATGACGTCAGTGTAAACGTAATGTCCGGCAACAGAATATGGGGGAAGATCAAGAGAAAGGAAGAGTAACTCTGTAATTTTCGTTAAATACAATTCGAATTGAAGATTTGCAAATTAAAGATTTACGATATGGTTTTCCTATTTTACTGAGTAACTCTGTAATTTTCGTTAAATACAATTCGGTTGCCCTCACCTGTGTTCTCCTTTCACTACAATACTACCCAGTTGCTCAAACCGAAGGCGAAAATGAGTTTAAAACTAGAATTCAATGGTTGAAATTTAAACTCCTTAAATACTTAGCCACCACTTCAGAATATCTTACTTAACCTACTATCAATCTATTCAGAGAAAAAGGCACTTAAATGTAAGTTTTGGTACAAAACGGCACCAAAAAACGAGCTACAAAGATGAAGTGACAAGATTATGAGGAAATAATAGTGATAAGAAGTATACTAAATAAATGGAATAGCATTTAAAACGGGATATAATTAAACTAAAATTACCGTCAAGAAAGGCTTTCCTCAAATGAGGGAGTTCATATCAAGTTTATGAAAGATGTGACATAAAACTACGAAAGGGTAGTCGCCAGTACCTACCTATTTTGGGCCATATATGATAAAGACTTGAGCAAACAAGTTGCTTGATCTCAAATATTCAGACCGTGTGAGGTCGTAATGGATTGACATAAGCTTGTCCAATGCATTTGTTTTTTTCACACAAAGGTATCATGTTATAAACTAACAACTTTTCAGTTTATTTAGTGCCTGAATCCAGAAATAATGCATGATGTGGAAGCTTTTGAGAAGGCATTCATACAACGTGATCAAACAGTTGAAGCCAATGCTTCAAGATCCGGTTTTTTGCAGGCAGACTCAAATTACAACAGCGCCTAGGACGGTTCAGGTTTGCATATTTATACAAGACTTTAACTACCGTGCTACCACAACCATTACCATAACTAACCAGGCGAACGAGCATTTCAACGATTTTTTAACAGTTCACCACAAAAAGTGAGTGAAGGCACACGCTCTTAATAGTTTTTTAAAAATTATTTTGGCTTTAGGTGTAAAGTTCATGTAATACTTTGAGACAATATTTGCCAACTGATTGGATTGAGCTGACTGAATAACTAACACGTTATTGAATAGTGAGACAATGTCACTAGCGTATACACAATCAATAAGTACAGTCATGGAGTTAAGAGTTATTAGGTGTACAAAGGATAAGATTCTGACTGATTCGGTCTCGTGTGCTTTTATGGGTATGAGGACGGATGTTACTTCCCGGCTGCCCACACCGTGGAACGGCTCTGGTTTACATAGCTGTCTCCGAAGCACTGCTCATGTTTTATGGGACAACCGAGTAAGCAATGCTGTCGTTAGGAAACGAGTAGTAGGTAAGGATATCAAATCAATAGATGAAGTATTGAAACTTCATCAGTTGAGGTGGTTAGGACATATGTTACGAATTCCCAACCATTGACTGCCTTTTCGAACTATGCTTTCGATGTAGGGATAGGTTGGAAGAAAGCTGAGGGTGGCGAAACCAAAACATGGCACAAATCCATGAAGTAAATGACAACTGGAATGAGCCATGTTGGTAGATGTAGGCTACCTGGTTGGAGTCCGCGAGACGAAAGTCACCAATGGTTAGAGACCTTGAACGACATGGCTCAGAATCGTTTGCGATGGCGCAGGTGCATTCATTCTCTGTTCTGTCAAACCCTAACCATTTAAATTCCTCGTCACCTTTATCTTTTTCTCTTAAGTTCCTCTCACCAGATTTCAATTCTTGACTAATATCCTCGGACCCTAATCTTTCCGATTACTGTTAATACTTCTACTATCTCTACTACTGTGGGATTCGAATTGACAATTGCATCTTTGTGCTAATGTGGTATAGCAACTTGAAGTGACGTACGTACGTACGTAGTTCTACGTTGCAACTGACTGACTGACTGACTGACTGACTGACTGTATCACCTCTACTACAATGGGATTTGAAGTGACAACTACGTCCCTATGCTAATGTGGTATGTTGTTGTTGTCGACTGACTGACAAGATTAATAAGTCTTTCTCAAGGTGGCAGATCTACACTAACACCACCAAGTATTTCGCCCACGGTTATTTTCAGAATATGATCGTTGATAAAGTAGAAAAAGGAATGGATAGATCGATCAACTAACTCTAATTAAATGTCGGATACAAATAATAGGGTGAAGTGGTTGTATTCTCTTACTATCTGGAGTGTTAATAAGGATCTCTCGAACTCCCCTTTTCGGCATGAAATTATATTGCTGTCCTACTCAACAAACAGAAGGTAAGATTAAACAGGAAACACTGTAAATACATAGCATTCTTTTGCACATAAAAAGCGGTATCTATCGTAAACAAATATAATAAAAAAAACAAAAACTTACTCTTTCACTCCACTGATAGTGATAACCTAAAGTTACCCAACGGAGTTTAGAATACCATGGATCAGTACAAGAAATCCCTATCACACAGGTCAATTCGTGAAACTGGACAACATACGATTACTAGGTGATATATTTGTGTTCAAATTACATTGAGCCGTCGGCAAGTGACACCATTCTGTTAAGGCATCAAGCCATAGACCTTCAATTGCAGTTGGACTGAAGAAATTTTTTATTATGATAAAATCTGGTTAATTACATAAATACGTATAATATAGGCCTACCTTCAGTTGGCAAAGTTTGCACTGTACAAACTGGATGCGAATTCGACAATTTAGTAAACACTGTTTCCTATTACCCACAATGAATCAACTATAACGATACCTTAAGGACTGAGTCAGTATATCTCTGTATTTGTTCGCGAACATTAAGTGAACAGTCCAAGTGTTTGTAAAATTTGAAAACATCTTTCAGATACGTACTTTGGTTTTCGTCAGAATATGCCATGTACGTGATAACTTCTAAAAACCGATTTCGGAAGTGGTCTGTGAAAACAATAGTGAGGTAATGAAATATATTATCAAGGAAAGGTAACAAAAAATACAGTCAACATACAGTATACCAGACTTGATAACTCTTTTAGCTACTGAGTTTAGAAAAGTAGGAAGGCATGAAAAATGTGAAGAGATGATGCTTAAATATTAAGAGTCCACGTCTTATTTTGTTATATGGAAGACGTTTCGGGAAAGCTAGACTGATGAACTTAATTAGACCGCGCGACAAGAGCTTATGAAGACAGCTTATTTATTCAGGCAGGCAAAGTGAACCGACTTCAGAAGACAAGGCATTGACATAGTAAGTTTGTCTAATGAAATATCAGACTTGGTTACAAAGTATTAGTAAGATGATAAACAACATAATTGACGTAAACAATAAGACGACATTAATTTTTAGTTCGCTTGCTTATAGAAATCAGACTAAATTGTTATGCTTCATCATATCAATAAAACTAAGCTTATAGTGCATAGTCAGTCAGTCAGATGCAACGTAAAACTTTGTACATAAGTACATCAGTTCATGTTGCCATACCACATCAGCACAGAGAAGTAATCGTCAATTCAAATCCAATAGTAGAAGAGGTAGTAAGGGAATTAGAAGTAATCGGAGAGGTTAGGATCAGAAGATACTATTCAAGAAGTATGATTCAGTGAGAAAAGTTTAGGAAGTCAAAACTAGAGGTGTTGAAGAATCAAGAAGATTAGGATTTGAGAGAACACAAAGAATAAATGCACCGGCGCCATTGCGAACGATTTTGAGCCATGTCATAGAAAATATTGTGTTGATGTTATGAAAATATCTGCAATGATAACTGGAGATTGTGGTGTGCAACATTGTAAGGTCCCCCTTTTACTATCCAATAGCCAATGTCTTATTTAAGAACCAATTGATTTCTTTGCGCTCGATTCTTGTTCTTTTGGTACGGTTCCACGTATTCGGTAGTATTCAATGGATGGGGTCTAGCCACTCAACTGAACTAATTCTAGTCATTTGGCAGTTGGTTGTGAGTTTTTATGCCCGGTGATTTGAATGAAAACGTTTGTTTCTGGGCAGAAGGGTTTCTGGATACTAGTAGCCATCACATTACCAGACTAGAGATCAGTTAGTAGCAATGTGGAGAATAATAAGGAGAAAATTCTAATGCTAATAAGAAGAGGATCTTAGAACTAAGTAAATCAATAGATAATTTAGTTTATTAATTGGTAGTGAAGATTGTGAGAGAGGAATGAAGGGTAAGCAAGGGAGAGGAGACAGAGATAACAGGCGAGATAGATTAATTGCGTGATCTGAGGAGATGGCAATCATAAAAACTAACAGGTCCAAAGATATGCATCAGGCACAGCTTGTCCAAAAGGGAGATGATAATCTTTATGTGAGTACTTGTTTATCAAGTCCTCCATCCATTGGACATTACCGAACACCTGGAACCGTACCGAAAGAACAACAATCGAGCGCGAAGAAATCAAATTGGTTTACACTAACTTGTGAACAAGATATTGGATATTGGAAGTCTCTTCTTAAAGCTGTCCACTGAGGGGCTGCGGTCACCTCGGCTGGGAAAGCACTCCAAGTTGCAACGAGTCTAAATGAGAAAACGTGTGCACGAACCTGAGTATTCGCTCTTTGGTGTGCAATTTTTCCAGGATTTCCTCGAGGGGAGTGGTGGTGATGCATCGGTAAGATGCTCACGTTGGCATGGTTCGGGGTGCTTAAAATGCTGTACGCCATAATCAGATCACCTCTGATACTCCTGTAACTCAGTGGAAATAATCCCAAGTGCTTGAGTCTATCTTCGTAAGGTTTATTCTTCAATCCTATCACACATTTCGTTGCTCGTCTGTGCACTCGATCACAGAGACTGATGTCTCTTTTAAACAGAGGGGATGCGATGAAGTTGTGAACACCAAGGTGTGGGCGTGCATGTCTTAAACAACGTCAAGAATTATTCTGGATTGATAGAACTAAGTTGTCTTCACATGAAGTGAAGAGTTGCATGCGCCTTGGCTGCATCTCCTATATTGTTCGAGCTGGTATGGAGGTTTTCTGTGGTTATTAAACATTAAGGAGCGGACTTCCATCGGGGTTGTAAATCGTTTACGTCAGGTGGGGCAGAATGAACATAATCTGACGCTTCAACTGGTTTGGTTTTAAACCGTTTTCCACTGCCCATTCCTCAACAGATGTAATGTCCTAGTAAAGCTCAGTCGAATCCTTTTCGCTTCTAATGGACTCCCGGATCTGTGAGTTGACTGCGTAGATCAATGCCGGCAAACTAACTATGCCTAACAGGTCGTTTATAAGTATCAGGAAGTGAAGTAAACCAAAGACGGTCCACTGTGAAACCCTCGATGTTGAGACTCACCAACTCGCCTGCGCTCCATTTACCTTGGTACCTATCTTTCTATTCTGAAGGTAGTTTCTGAACCAAGGTAGCAGTGGATCAGCGAAGCCTATTTCCACAACCTTAGCGATTAGGCGTGCGTGGAGTACTGTGTCAAAGGCTTTTCCAAAATCTAGAAATATTACGTGTGCAGTGAAGGAGAACACAGATGAGGGCAACCGAATTGTATTTAACGAAAATTACAGAGTTACTCAGTAAAATAGGAAAACCAAATCGTAACCGTTAATTTGCAAATCTACAATCAATCATCAATCCATTGTCTGACATTTCACTATTCATGCGTTTCATACAAATTCCATTGTGTTCCCACTCTTCCTTTCCTGATCTTCCCCCATCTTCTGCTGCCAGACATTACGTTTACAGTCACGTCATATACTACTTATAAGTGGCGCGCAACACACGTGCACCGTTATTTTTCGGTCCAAGCATGATGTCCAACTGTCCCATGATATGAGAGGATTGGATGCTCACGACCTGACCTTCCGAAACCGATGTTGAGCTTCATGGAATATTTGATCAAACCCCAGGAGTGGCAGTTGCAGTGTTGCCTCAGTAAGTTTGTCTTTCTGGGCTTTAGTACCTGAAGGAGGTGGTTAAATCCCTCTGATCAAATATTTCGTGCCATCTGTATGGAAAAAACACCAACATGATTCTTTCACCTCAGATAGTTTGTCACTGTGTAGCCGCTTGGCTTTTAAGTGGCTGTTTATGAATGAAGCCATTCCGCCTACCGTTTGGTGTACCCTATTGTTTCGGAAGATTATCAAGCCTTGCAAGCTTACTTCGTCGTCTGCAATTTGAGGGGATAGCCATGTTTCATTTAGGAATATGATCTTCAGATCCATCTAAGGGCACATATTCTCCATTTCTAATAGCTTACCACTTGATCCTGTTCCGTTGCTATAGAGGCCTTTGATGGTTTGTCACAGCACCTAGTGCACCTCTGTGGCAACTGCTATTGTCGAATTTTTACACAAGTATTTCGAACCGAGCTGGCCGGTTCTTTGCGAACTGGCCTCTGCGGGTTTTCGCCTGTGCAGTGAGTTCAGTCGTCGAGGCTCATCATGCATGTCATCCAAGCTGCAACCATCCACAACGGGCGCAGCGTGAACTAACTTCCTGGTCTGCTCTCGGGTTCCTGATATTGTCCTGGCTGCCGCTCGTAGAGACTATGGTTTATCGCGTCTGATGCAGATCGGAGAGAACAGTTTTACCGATGGTCTCTAGTATGAGAGGAGGATATCTTCGGCAAGTTGTACCTACCCTAGTGTTAACCTCATTGGGGGGTATTTCCCTTTCCAGACATTCTGGTCTTTGAAAAGGCGGCATTTTTTGCTGGGTTATTGAACACTGCGAGGATCGTGCAGTAGTTATCTTACTGCTCTTTATCGAAGTCGGCCCTACCTTCTAGCTCTAGTATGAACCAAATGACTTATTTGTGCTCGCTTGATGTTCTTTCGGTATGTTACCAGGTATTTTATCATGTCCAAAGGATGTCCCATGATTTGAGTGAACGTATTTGTCTCAGGGCAGCAGGGTTTCTGGATGCCAGCAGCTATCTCATCACAAGGCCGGAGACCAGTTAGTCGCAAAGTGGAATATAACGAGGAGTAAATCCTTGTGCTCATGAAATTTCAGAACTATGTAAAGGATTAAATAAGCTAAATAATTGGCAGTAGATATTGTGTGAGAGGATAGAGTTGGGGTAAAAGAAAAGACAAAATTATTTGGCGATCTGAGGAGATGACAGTGATAACAACTAGCAAGTTTCAAAACATGCGTGAGAAATAGCAAGTGCAAACGTGAGATGATAATCCGTGTCTGCGTACGTGTTTATGAAGTCTCTTCTTGAAGCCGTACACTGAGGGAGAGCTCTCCCGAAGGAGGCAACTCCTAATAAAAAAATCGGACGCGTACCTGGATGTCGCTCTCTGATGTGCAATTTTTCGAGTACCACATGGACAGACGTAGTTGTGACGAACTGATAATTTGTTAGTAGTGTGGTGACTTGAGGTACTCGTACGTTTTTAGCCGTTATCAGGTTACCCAGAAAGCAGCACGAACTCTGAAAGTAGTTGCATTTTTCACTTGGTATAGTTTTCTTTGCAAATGTCTCATTTGTAGGTTATCATACTGATTTGATCACATTATCTATTTAAACTAGCGTCTTTTGCTTCTAAACAGCAAAACTTCTAATTTTTCAGTTTTACTTACTTACTTACTTACGCCTGTTACCCCCAATGGAGCATAGGCCGCCCACCAGTTTTCTCCAACAAACTCTGTCCTGGGCTTCCCTTTCCAGTTCTGTCCAATGTTTGTTCATTCCTCTCATATCTTTCTCTATTTCTCGGCGTAATATGTTCTTTGGCCTTCCTCTTTTCCTTTTACCTTCAGGATTCCATGTGAGGGCTTGTCTCGTGACGTAGGTAGGTGCTTTTCGTAGTGTGTGTCCTATCCACTTCTACCGCTTCTTACTGATTTCCTCCTCCACTGGAATCTAGTTTACTCTCTCCTAAAGTACGTTGTTGCTCATGGTGTCTGGCCAACGAATCCTCAGTATTTTGCGTAGACAACTGTTAATAAATACTTGTATCTTCTGAATGATGGCTTTCGTAGTTTTCGGAATTTCCATTCCATACAACAGAACTGTCTTGACATTTGTATTGAAAATCCTGATTTTGGCTTTGATTGAAAGTTGTTTGGAGTTCCAGATATTTTTCAACTGTACAGATGCAGCCTTTGTTTTGCAATACGTGCCCTCACGTCTGCATCGGATCCACCTTTCTCGTCGATGATGCTGCCCAGATATGTAAAGGTGTTAACGTCCTCCAAGGCATCTCCATCAAGAGTGATTTGGTTGACGCATATTGCGTTGTATCGGAGAATCTTGCTTTTCTCTTTGAGTATGTTGAGACATTCTGCTGCTGTGGCTGCTGCTACACTGGTCATCTTCTCTTGCATTTGTTGTTGCGTGTGAGATAGAAGAGCCAGGTCATCTGCGGAGTCCAGATCGTGCAGTTGCGTCCTAGCTGCCCACTGGATACCGTTCTCCCCTCAGGATTTTGACGTCTTCATAATCCAGTCGATGATCAGGAGAAGGAGAAAGGGTGAGAGTAAGCAACCTTGCCTCACAACGGTCTTCACCTCAAAAGAGTCTGTCAGCTGTCCTTCGTGTACGATTTTGCAGTTGAATCCATCATAAGAATTCCGTATGATGTTAAATATTTTCTCAGGCACACCGTAGTGTCGAAGAAGCCTCCACAGTGTTTTCCTATCCACGCTATCGAATGCCTTCTCGTAGTCGATGAAGTTGATGTAGAGTGGTGAGCTCCATTCAATTGATTGTTCCACAATGATCCGTAATGTAATAATAATAATAATAACAATAATAATAATAATTTATTCTCAAATAACAAACATGTTACAAGAGACATGCCAATTTACAGGCAAGATCAAAATGTTAAGATTAGCAACATATTTCTTTTAAAAGGATATACAGTTACTGAAACATTTCACAAGATTCATTGTTTTCTTAACGATGGAATGTACAAAGCCAGTAATTGGCGCAAGTTACGAAGGTTGCGTTACGACAATCATCTTATGGGCTGAGAAACGATTCATGGTACAGATGGGTTTTCATATAACAAGAATTGATGCGGTAAATGTACAATGGTCTGGTTGATATTCGTCAGCTGATGATATCACATGTTCTTGGGTAGGGTAACCAAGTCTATAATAAAGAGGATCTGTGATATAATTTTTTGTTTTATTTATTCGTTTTATTTTTAACTCTGAGGCTCAAGAAGTTATGAATGGGCTTCTTTTTTAAAATAGTTGTCCAGACCAGCTTGTAATAGGATTTCTCGGTAGGAAGTAAAAACCAGTGCAAGGTTACAGACATGGGTTGTAGACGAGGTTAACTAGGAAAAGTAACATCAATATCACTGATTTGTTACATCCTGCTATATCGTAAGGAGCCGTGAAATCCATGTGGCTTCGTGTTTGCGTTTATGTGGGAATATTGTGCCACCGATGACCAGTTTGTTGAAGTCACATAGGCTTGTAAATCTCTCACCATTTTCGTTCATTTCTCCCAGTCCATGTCGTCTCATGATGTCTTCATATCCAGTATTGTCTATGCCCACTTTTGCATTTAGGTCTCCCATAAGAATCGTCAAATCCTTTGGTGAACATTTATCGACGATTGACTGCAGCCTTTCGTAGAATTGATCTTTAACGTCGTCATTGTAGTCATTGGTAGGTGCATAACATTTGATGACGTTCATTGTAATGTACGCTTTATTTGTTTTGAAGGATGCTTCAATGAGATTCCCATCCTATCAGTGCCTTTTGTGAATGTTTGGACAGCATCAGTGCAACTTCTTGTGTATGTGAAGCATTTTCCTCTTCATGACCAGAGTATAACAGCAGTTCCCCTGAAGCTAGTCTCAGTTGTCCTACTTGTGTCCAACGCGTTTCACTGATGCCGAGCACCTCGAGGTTGTATCTTTTCCTTTCTGCCGCAACTTGAAATAGTCTTCCAGTCTCCCACAATGTACGAACGTTCCATGTACCTAAAAAATGGTTGCTCTGGTTGTTAGAAGAGACATCGGCCCCGTGACTTCCGAGGGAACTCGGCTTTCATCACGCGACGTCGTAATTCTTCCTTCAACTCCCAGGGCAGAGTTAAAATGGTTTGAATTATTTCTTCTGGTTAGCGTTTTTTTGGCAAGTTAGTTTTTGACGGAATGGGGTCGCCAGCCCCATGTCTAACCCTCCTCCTTTAGCCGGGCTTGGGACCGGCAGTAGCCCCGAAGGTTCTACTGGCGGAGTTAAGTTTTCAGTTAGTTAATGCATACTCAACATACACTAGCGTTCCGAAAAAATATTTATAAGCCCACAACAGGTTGATAACGTTCTTAACTTCTGAATACACTAGTTTAAGCCTACTAATCGACTGACAGTAATTCTCACTATTAATAACTAGGTATCTTATTCATAAATCTTTCCCTAACTCCACTGATTTTAGTATTAACCCAATTAATACACAAAAAATTATACTCTATGTATATGCGTTGATCAGACACTCGGTTATCAATTATGACCAATAATTCGAGTAAAAGAGAAATTTTACTGACTTCTAAACCACCCAAAAGGTCGAAATCTGTAAACACTATACCTGATGAATATTGGAAAAGTCACAACTTCATCTTATAAACCCTGTACCTCTTATTCACAAATTTCATCCCTGTAGCCAGTAATTTAACTCCACCAGTAGAACCTTCGGGGCTACTTCCGGTCCCAAGCCCGGATAAAGGAGAAGGGTTAGACATGGGGCTGGCATTAAGAAGGTTTCCTGCGTGCAGTTTTCTGTAAGAATCATCAATAACTACGAGGATTCTTGCCTAAAAGGTCGAGATCTAATTAAAAAACAGGTTTTGAGTAGATACTGATGGAAAGTGAGAGGGATGAAGATTATCCTATTGGCGTACTTATCGAAGAACTTCGTGGTGAAGATTTGCACGTTCGCCTTCACAGCATTCGAAAAATCTCTACTATCGCTTTAGCTCTTGGCCCAGAAAAGACCAGATCCCAATTGATACCGTTTCTAACTGAGACAATATATGATGAAGATGAAGTACTACTCACTTTGGCAGAACAAATAGGAACTCTAGTGCCATATGTTGGCGGTCCTGAGTATGCCCACTCACTTCTTCCTCCACTTGAGAGCCTCGCTGCAGTAGAAGAAACAGTTGTACGTGATAGGGCTGTTGAGGCTCTCAGGAAACTTGCACCAGACCATACCACAGAAGCAATGGAAAAATACTTCAATCCATTGTTACATCGCCTGGCTACTGGTGATTGGTTTACTAGCAGAACCTCTGCATGTGCACTCTTCAGTGTGGTGTATCCTAGAGTACGGAGCTCAAAACGATGGGAATTACTTGATTTTCTTAGAAGATTAGCCAAGGATGAAACACCAATGGTCAGAAGAGCAGTCGCTGCCCGACTAGGTGAACTGGCTCTAGCTATGTCAGTTGGTCAGTCTTCTGAAAAACCCAGTGCTAACGAAGAAAAACTAAACCAGATAACCGAGCATATTTCAAATAATATGACCGCTTCTGCCACGGAATCAAAAATATTAACAGATGAAACGGTTAGTTTAAACAGTGACCAATTTACTTACGGGGTTGCTGCTGATGAACGTTCAAATGATGGTAGCATAACTGAACACGCGTCGACTCTTGCAACTCCTCTTCAATCTGATGATTTTATTCTAGACCCCGAAAAAGAGCGCAACAATATCCTCACTATAATTGTTCCCATATTTATCCGACTAGTTGAGGATGATCAAGAGTCTGTACGCCTTATGGCAGTTGAATCTATAGTTCAATTGGCACAAGCATTGGGACCTGAAGAATCTGAGGAATATTTAATTGATCTCATTCAACAAGCTACAGCTGATAAATCTTGGCGTGTTCGATGTGTTGTAGCTGATAAATTCACAGAAATTCAAACAGCTATGGGTTTACGAGTTTCACGTGAACGATTAGTGCCTTTCTTCATGAAACTGCTCCATGATGAAGAAGCTGAAGTACGAGCTTTTGCTGCAGGCAAAGTGAAAGCATTCGCCAGATGTCTACTAGGTTTACCAGCTGATGTTGAAACAAGTACTACAGATAAACTTGCGTGATGTTGTCTGTCCCTTCCTTAAACACAAGTAACATAGACCACGCTTTGTCACTTCCTGCCTCCTCTCTGTAACATTCATTTTTGATAACTTCATACAGTCTTTCTCTTTGTGATCACCAAAACAAATTTCGCAACTTAAAGCCTTGAATGAGTTGCTTGGTTCCCGCTTAACTACATTAAAGCGTGATCTCCTGTCAACTTGGCCTTCATAATTACCTTTACGGAACTTTGAGTTACAATGTATCAAAACGTGATCGCGCAATCCTGGCTCTTTCTTCTACAAACATCACTAATTCTTCAAAGACCGGCTCCCTACCGGTCATCATGATCCTATCAGCAGCTTCCACCCATTTATCCTGTAATTCCAAGGGTAAACGTGACACAATTATTTCCAGATTAGCCGTAGAATTCACATCAGACATATACCCCATTTCCTTCAATGTTATACATACATTACGTAACTTAATTGCGAAGTCAGTTAGGCCATCGGCGGATCCTTCAACAGATTTGTGGCTAAGTAATTCGGTAATAAGATTACGGGCGACAAGATGTTCTGTACCAAACAGATCATACAAAATTTCCTTAGCCCTATCGTAACCCAAGTGACTGGGCAAAGAAATACAAGCTTCAATAGCCGTTCTGGCCTTTCCGTTACAATAGTATGACAAATATGACAACAACTGGCCCTTGTCAGACAGTTTACTCTCTATAATGCTTGTAAACTGACTAATAAAACGGTGGTACTGGCTTGGTTGTCCGTCAAAAAACATCATATCGGTCTTAGGCAAAACTGTATTATTAACCGTAGCACGTAACGTGTCCTTTAATTCATCAATACAATCGCATTTTGAGGCGTTAAATACCTCCACGGAATGCTTATTATGCACAATGTCACAATCCAAGTACATTTCCACCTTAGCATTTATCTCAGCTTTGTCTAATGACAGTCGGTTATCGTTTTCTATGACCTTACATTCTAATTCGGCCATATCAATAATGCCTTATCTAACTTCAATCTAGAAGTACTAAACTGAGCTGAGGACTTACTATTAACATTATTATCATCACGTTTATCATCATTAAAACCAGACATACCGCAGACCACTTTAGAATCTTTACCATCCATTTCGTCATTTTCCTTCGGCATTTTGCTTCTGGTTTCCATCGTATGCCTTTGTTCAAAAATCGGTTACCAAGCAAATGTGAATTAATCCAAACGAATTCGACCAATAATACCAAAAATTGGACCGAAAATGTCCAGACGTATCCAATGTATGACAACGGAAATGAAATTGAAGAACTTTTGTTACGTCCAAGTTTTGCTCCTTCCCGTTATTGAACTACAGTATGTCGATCTATTTGCAATTCACGAACCCAAATTAACAACAGAACCAAACTTCAAAGTTAGGTACCAAAGTCTATTCGCAATTAACAAATAGTCGACCAAAATGTCGTTCTAACAACAATAATTATAATAACTACAAGTACCTTCAATTTTATAGGTGTTACGGGAGAAACGAAGACATTTTGCTGATCAAAACCTCCATGTATAAATATCATTAATTTCACTGTTTTTGGGTACATTTGTTTTACTTAACTTGTGAACTTGTTTGAATTATTATTTGCGGACATTTTGGACTCCCGTTTCTCTTTGTTGTTCGTTTGCAGTTTTTTGCTCCAAGAGCTAATAAATTAGAAGGTAATTGTAATTATTATAATTATTGTTGTTAGAACGACATTGGTCGTCTATTTGTAATAAAGTATTTTGGTCGAATTTGTGATTTGGAATAAACTTTGGTATCTACTTTGGAGTTTCGTACTTGGTTTAAACATTTGGGACCGTGAATTACAAATAGTTCGACAACCGTGCTTCGTAGGATCAACGAGCAAAAAACTGGACGTAACAAAAGTTCTTCTAATTTAATTTCGTCATATATTGCATTTTTGGTCGTTTGGCTCCAGAGGTTCTTCAATTCAAATTTGGTCGTTGGAAACTTTTGGAAATTTGGGTCCAAAAGTTCTTCTTACTTTTAATTTGATCGTTGGATACTTTGGACTATTCAATTTGGTTCTTTGGTTATAATTTGGATACTTTTGGACATTTTTGTTATTATTGGCTGAATACGCTTGGATTAATTTCACATTTGCTTGGTAATCGATTTCGAATAAAAACATACAATGGAAACTAGAAGCAAAAGGCTGAAGGAGCAGGACGAAATGGATGGTAAATTTTCTAAAGCTGTTTGTGGTTTGTCTGATGTTAATGATGATAAACTTGATGATATTAGTGTTAATAGTAAGTCTTCCTCTCAGTTTAGTACTTCTAGATTGAAGTTAGATAAGGCATTAATTAAGAAGAAGAATTTGGAAAAGAGACTTGAGTTAGAAAAGCAGCTTAAAATGTTAGAGCTTCAAGAGGAAGTTGATATGGCTGAATTAGAATGTAAGCTTATAGAAAACGATAACCAACTGTCAGTAGACAAAGCTGAGATAAATGCTAAGGTCGAAAGGTATTTGGATTGTGATATTGCGCGTAATAATGTAATTAACGCCTCAAAATGCGATTGTATTGATGAATTAAAGGACACGTTACGTGCTACGGTTAATAATACAGTTTTGCCTAAGACCGATATGATGTTTTTTGACGGACAACCAAGCCAGTACCACCGTTTTATTAGTCAGTTTACAAGCATTATAGAGAGTAAACTGTCTGACAAGGGCCAGTTGTTGTCATATTTGTCATACTATTGTAACGGAAAGGCCAGAACGGCTATTGAAGCTTGTATTTCTTTGCCCAGTCACTTGGGTTACGATAGGGCTAAGGAAATTTTGTATGATCTGTTTGGTAAAGAACATCTTGTCGCCCGTAATCTTATTACCGAATTACTTAGCCACAAATCTGTTGAAGGATCCGCCGATGGCCTAACTGACTTCGCAATTAAGTTACGTAATGTATGCATAACATTGAAGGAAATGGGGTATATGTCTGATGTGAATTCTACGGCTAATCTGGAAATAATTGTGTCACGTTTACCCTTGGAATTACAGGATAAATGGGTGGAAGCTGCTGATAGGATCATGATGACCGGTAGGGAGCCGGTCTTTGAAGAATTAGTGATGTTTGTAGAAGAAAGAGCCAGGATTGCGCGATCACGTTTTGATACATTGTAACTCAAAGTTCCGTAAAGGTAATTATGAAGGCCAAGTTGACAGGAGATCACGCTTTAATGTAGTTAAGCGGGAACCAAGCAACTCATTCAAGGCTTTAAGTTGCGAAATTTGTTTTGGTGATCACAAAGAGAAAGACTGTATGAAGTTATCAAAAATGAATGTTACAGAGAGGAGGCAGGAAGTGACAAAGCGTGGTCCATGTTACTTGTGTTTAAGGAAGGGTCACATAGCCAAGTCGTGTAACTCAGACACAAGGTGTGACGTTGATAATTGTAAGATTCGGCATAATCCATTACTACTAACAAACATGTGGTGAACTTTGCTAAGGATTGGAAATTCTCAAGGGTTTGTTTGGGTATCATTCCGGTTAGACTATATGGCCCCAAAGGATGTCTGGAAACATACGCCCTTCTAGTTAATGGTTCAGATACCTCTATTGTATGCGAAGAGTTAATTGATCGGTTAGGTCTCAAAGGTAAGGAGACTTCAATAAAGGTGACGACTGTGAATGGAACTTCTACTCGTGAATGTCTGGAAGTAAATTTAGAGGTATTTTCATTAGATGAGCGGGGTTCTATAAAGATCGACAAGACCTATACGACCAAGAAACTTCCGATCGATTATGCAGATCCTTTAACTGAACTGCAGCTGAGAAGGTGGAAACATTTAAAGGACATAACTCTACCGAGGCTGCAAAGTAATCTAGTAGGAATATTGATTGGGTGTGATGCTCCAGATGCACATTGGGTCCTTGAACAACGCCTGGGAGACAGGAAGCATCCGTTTGGTGTGCGTACTCATCTCGGTTGGATGATTTTAGGTCCTAAAGAAGCATCGAGGTCTTTACATCAAGTTCAGTGGTGTCATTGTTCTACTAATGATATTTTGCGAGATATAGAAAGATTATATAATCATGAATTCGAGGATGCAGATGGGTTTCGTAATGGATATTCTGTCGAAGATAAAAGAGCTCTAGAAATAGTTAATAGTTCCTTTAGACTGGAGGGTGGCCATTTCCAAGTTGGTCTACCCTGGAAGTATGATAAGCCAAGGCTACCGAATAATTTGGAACTAGCTGAACGTAGACTAGAGTGTTTAAGGAAGAGGTTTATGAAGGATAATAGTCTTCTGGAGAAATATCAACTTGTAATGAGTAAACATTTAAGTAAGGGATACATCATTGAAGCTACTAAGGAGGAATTCGACCGTGATGCTGTTTGTTGGTATATTCCTCATCATCCTGTTATCAACCCTAAAAAGCCTGGAAAATTAAGAATTGTTCTTGATTGTGCAGCTGTCTATCAAGGTTGTTCTCTTAACGATCAGCTTTTGAGAGGACCTAATACTGTAAATAGTTTAATTGGTATTCTTCTACGATTCAGATTATGCAACGTAGCATTAGCCGCTGACATCGAGGAGATGTTCCTTCAAGTAAAGATTCCGAAACGAGATAGGGGAGCGTTTCGACAATTGTGGTGGGAAGAAGGTGATATAGGACGAAAGGCTAAGGAATACTGTTTGACAGCTCATCCGTTTGGAGCCGTGTCCTCTCCTTTTTGCGCTAATTTCGCTCTTCGGAAGACGGTAGATATATTCGGAAAGGAATTGAATAAAGATGTCCAGGAAGTTGTAGATAAGAGTTTTTATGTCGACGACTATTTAACTTCAATTGATAATGTGCAGGATGCAATCGAGCTTGCAAAAATCCTTGGTTTACTCCTCAGAAAAGGTGGGTTCAGACTTACCAAGTGGATAAGTAACTGTTTACAGGTTCTCGAATCAATTCATCCAGAAGAGAGAGCAGAAGCCGTAAAAGAGATTGACTTTGAG